TTTACGTAAGAGTGGGGGGAGATAGAAAAACGAAAATGGCAATTTAATGTGGAAAATATAAAAGTAATTTGTCGATTCATTGGTATTATGGCAATATTTGAGTAAATAAAGAATATTAGAACGTGAAACAAACCAAGTGATATGCATAACGTGGACCTCTTCAGCAAATCGTGAATCACTGAAATGTTTTTAAACACATAAATTCTATAGCTTTGATTAAGCTAACGTCATTTTGAGCATTTAAATTACAACTAACTATAAAATAATATGTGACAAACTAAAGGAACTTATTGGGTTGTATGGTCATCAACATAGCGTCATCAACATAGCAGAGTATAAGCAGACCAATGCTTATGACGAATAGACGCGACTCGAACTTAGTGAATTGAGTCTAAATAACATCGAAATAAAACTCGAAATATTTTACTCACGTCTTATTGTCTAAGTGACAACTACAATATATATAATAATATATTTATCCTATTGGGTAACGGAAACATATTAGCCTATTTAATACCTTACTGTAAATGAGCTTCTATAGATTATATTGTTATATGTATAAACTGCTTTTTGAATATATTTATATTCCTGCACTTATAAAAGTTATACAGTGTGTGACAAAATACATAATATATTATTCGAGATTTTTATCATTCTGTATTTTTAAATATGTAAATTACATGAAAGCCCCTCTTTGAGACCAGCACAACGCATTTGATGTTTTAAACCGCTTAGAGATTTCCCTATTCTAATCTTTTATCTATAGTAGAATTGTCTATGAATACGTTAGTTCAAAAGATAACGCTAACACATCGTAAATTTTACTAGACTTGTGATGAATTCTGATATAACATTTATTTAATTCGCAAGTATCCACACATTTTTTATCCGCAATTTCAATAAATACGTTGATTTTCTTTTTTGGTCCGAGTCCTGATTATGACAATTTTCCTTTCAACCTTGAACTTTCCATATGTCTAAATTTAATTGTATTTAAATGTTAATATCAATAATAAATCTCGAAATTTTATATTTTAACACAGAACACGAATATTCAAATTAAAAAAAAAATATGTTAACAAATTTATTTTCTGTGCCCACAAAAAATATACTAAAAACTGGAAGATTTGTAACAAAAATTTTAAGCCTTTATAATAATACTGTATTCGTCTTATTACAAAAAGTGGTTTATAATTAATCTCTGGTTTAAACTAGGGTCTGGTTCAAAAAAGGAATCCTGGAAAATGTGCGAATTAAAATTTAAATAATAGAATTTGACAGTAAATGTCAAACTTCGCACTGACTGTGGCGCCGCGAGCGAAGAGACTTCTTTCGAGGCAAAGACTCTTCTTTAACTCTTTCAGGGTAGGTGGTTAGTAACGCTAACCACCTCTTTTACTAAATAACTCCATCTTGTGGTAATTTTATGAATGAATATGACATATGTATTGACTTCTATGAATGAGTGAACGATGCGAGAGAAGGAGACGATCGCTACGTAGCATTAGCATCGACCGTCTCCGAACTGACGTCGGTAAGTATTATATACAAAGTTAGCTGTTTATGAGTACAAGTAGATTAAGTTAGTTGAACAATGTACAAATTTTCTTCGCAGTATTGGTGAGAAAATAATCGTGCTCCGTAATTTTTAATTTTTGAAAAAATAGTAATAATAATAATAAATCAATAATAATTAATAATTTATATTTGTAATCATTTACAATATTTATAATAATAAGACAACTTAGCGATCGCAGCGCCTCACTTATTTTGTCCATATTTCTGGGACACTATTTTCTACAGCAATCGTTCTCCTTCTCTCTAACCTCCGTGATTACGAACTTGGGATTCGATTGGTCGCGAGTGTTTTAATTCACGGAGATTGCATTATTGGATTAAAAACGTATGTTTTCGTTAATCTAACGTTATTCTTATTTTAAATTATGGCTAAATTGTTGCTGTTTATGTTTGTCTGTAGACTATAGTATTACACGAAACATTACTAAAATAGTAACCACCGTGACATAATAGGCCAATATTTTACACATAATTTGCTAGATATTTAAAATTTGGTTTTTGATATTTATATAGTATAAAGCGAGCATTGCAAGAAAAGAAATCCAAAATGTCTAGCAAGAAGATAGATATTGGGTGCGTTTGGCAGAAAAAAGCGCTAGCAAGCGCTTATAAGCGCTAAAATAGTTTTCGGCCAGGACACGATTGCTACTTCAGTAGCGCTGACACAATCCGCCATTTTGCTTATTTAATTTGTTTGTTTTGAAGTAGAGTTTATAAGTTGTTTTGTGCAATATTAGTTTTAAGTAATATAATGACATGAATAAACATATACATGCTACTAAAAACTCATGATTGGTAAGTTTTTAATATGAATACTTTACAAACATATATTTAAATTAGGTTAGATTCCACGGTTAAAACTAACATCGTGTCCTGGAGGAAAATAGCTACTTACGATTTGACAGCGCTTACCGCTTACGATCGCCATTTTGCTTACAAGCGCTTGCTAGCGCTTTTTTCTGCCAAACGCACCCATTCCTTCGGATCCTAAACGTTGTGTGGAGTCCGGATTCAGACTGTGACTCAAAACCAGACATTGATCAAGCCCCTGAATTCACCCTTGGTAACGATACTATCGCTGTATAGACATTCAATGACAACCTTTTCTCGGATGATGATATACCTCCGGCTAATTTTGTAAGTACTGCTACTACCTCTGCTTCTACTTCTCGATGATTTTTCTTCGACATTTCGGCTACCGAAATAGAAAAAACAGCTACACTATGAAACTGCCTGGTACTTTTGTGGGATATCTGGTATTCCTGAACATATTTAAATTTCAAAGCACGGAAAATATAACGCCTCAACAACTTTTTTTGCTTGTTTGGGACTTTTTGGATTTGCTAGAAATAATCAGCTTTTAAACCCACTCATACGCTGCTCAAACTGGTAAAAACTATAAACAGACTACTCCTGAAAAAATTGATGTGTTTCTGGCTCTAAATTTAGTTATGGGTATTAAAAAGCTACCAAGCTACAAAAATTATTGGGCAATTGCATCTGATCTTCATGACAGCTATATCTCCTATTTTATGCCTTTAAGACAGACAGTTTCAACTTTGATAAATTGTATAAAGTTCGTCCTTTGATGGACATTATTCAAAGAAACTTCGCGCTAATTATATGCCTTCAGAAAAAGTTGCAGTAGACGAAAGTATGATGAAATTTAAAGGACGGTTTTGTCTAACGTTTTTTTTTTTTCAAAAAAAACCGATCAAACGGGGCTAAAAAGCACGTCTAGACGCTGCCGCAAATGCAGTACAAAATCTCATCCAGTACGCAGTTTGGTAATGTAGCATGTGTTAAATTCCTCTTTACCTTAGTTGTAAGGAAATAATTCCATAAAACAAGGTTCTTTATTCATCACAAATGTCTTATTTTATAATCACGGTAGTTAGTACTGTAGTTCGTACCACATCATTCCTCAAAAGCCTTATAGCTGAAGCAATTTTTTTTTTATACATGTAGTACCACCTAGTCCTAACTAATACAGCCAATTATATTTTTTGTTCATATTATTCAAAAGTGTGGCTCAGAGTTAAACCCGAAACAACCAACGAACCACGTTTTTAATGAGACGGTTTCAGTCAAATTACAAAACGTGGTTTATTGAAGAATCTCTTACATAATATAAAACAAAGTCGCATCCCACCATCTGTACGCTTAGATCTTTTAAACTACGCAACAGATTTTGATGCGGTTTTCATCAATAGACGGAATGATTCACGAGGCAGGTTTTATGTATAATACATGAATATGTTTGTCGAGATACAAAATGCGCTAGTATTAAATAAACCAGATCCATATCAAATTTCACATTCGATGTCAAATTCCATACTTTACAATTTAGTCCGCATATCTTTCACGAGACCTCTTTCTGACACACTCTTGTTAAACCAAAGACTGATATACAACTTTTTGTTTGAAGACAGGGTTAGTTTTAAATTCTTTGATGTCTGATATCTCATTGAATATCATTATGGCATAAAATATCCGGTATTCTGTCTAAAGTGACAAAATTAATTTTTCATTGAAATAACATGTCCAATTGATATAATTATGTTGTAAATTTGTAAGAAACAGTTTGTAATTCCTTTCATAGATCAAAACTTTTCACAAATTTCACATATATAGGATTCTCCATTAACTTAATAAATAACACCCCTCCTACTTAACATTGCACTTGATACTCCTGTTTATAATGGTACAGTCAGCCTCAAAAATATTTACCAATTAAACAATTTTTTTAAAGACTGTATGAATGTCAACCTTAAACTAAGTCAATAATTGATAGCTTTATTGTACTTATAATTGTGAACAAAATTCGCAGAAAATTGAACAAAAAAAATACGAGCATGCACTATTTGCTGAGTGCACATTTATAATTATTGAAAGCATCATTCATATATACACAGAGTAAGCATGAACGAATTGTATAGTATATTTTTCAAGCTGACTATACAGTCATTGCGAATATAACAAAAAATATAATGTCTATCTGACATTGAAAAGCATTTTAGTCCATAACACTCGTTTTGAAATTACGAAACTAAAATCCGACAAATAAATCGTGATGCACTAATGCATCGCTTAAAACTTAAATGTACCACTCGAAACAACACTTTATTCTTAGCACTGTAGAGTTTAATATTCGTTTTACAACCGAAAAAGTCACCTTCAGCCATTGTCGATCATTATTGCTTACTTTTACACTTTTCAATACCACTGATCACAGGATCCATCATCTATATTATTAAAGTCTAATTTCGACTGATCGATCGAATATCTCTGTGAGATGTCGACCAATGGGTCGAACGATCGATCGCTCCACTTTCAAGGGGGCAGCGTTACCTCTGGCGATGTGCGGGGAGGTGTCACGTGACGTTTTTGACAGTTCACGTGGCAGCAGCCTTGGCGGGGCGTCAATATGCACGCCTCTCCTCTATGTCTGACATCTGAAATTTGTTACAGTATTGCACGAAATACAAAATAAGTCTTGTGAATCAAGATACGAGAGTAGAATATGTTAACAGTGGCTCTAAATGACAGGTAAAGGAATTGTGTGATAACTGATAAGGGAAGTGTTATTTTCAAAATGATGTTGTGACCAGGATTAAAAAAGGATCGCCACGGTGATTTGCTCAGATGGTTAGAGCTCGCTGTAATTTTCACAGTACGCGAATAAACTAGGTTCGATCCCCGCCGGCACTAATGAAATTGTTAATTGCAATTTTAAATGCTGATTTACCACGTGCTTGGCGGTAAAGAAAAACATCGTGAGGAAACCTGCATGTCTGAGAAATAAGAAAAAAATATTTCGAAGACATGTGGAGTTTGCCAACACGTATATAGGCTATAACTTTATGCTGCAGAAGTTTATGGCACAGTCGACAAGGGACACCCTGTGATGTAAAAGTGACTAGGGGAAGAACCCAAAATGGTCTAGTGGAACAATATTTGTTTACAAGCTCACCAGATGGTAACTGAATGCTGCCCATAGACAAACATCTAGGATTACATGCAGGTAAGTAATCACGCCTTAGGACTAAGGAAGAATGCTTAGTTACCAGTAACAAGTGGTAAAATTAAAAATTTTGTTCAACTGACTTCAATATAAATAAAATGACAACATCAATGTAGTCAAAATCAATTAAATACGTTATTAAGGATGAATCAAAAAGCAACAGCTTTCAAATAGAAAATAAAAATAATTATCGAAATCGGTTTACCTAGTAAGAAATTCTGAGGAAATACACATAAAAAGTACAGACAACTCGTGAACCTCATCCTTTTTTAAAGTCGGTCCAAAAGGGTATCCAGTTGTAATCACCATTCAACATATAGTAACATATATTTTTTTAAAGGATATGGGTGACAAGGGAGCACACAGTCCACCTGATGGAAAGTGGTTGCTGAGGCCAATAGACATCTATCATCGTTTGCGAATCAAAATGTGGTTGCGTTGTCAGCGGTGAGGACTAAGATGGAATGCCTCTTTTCCAGTAAAAAGGGTCTCCGGGTCTCTACACACACTAAACGAAACACAGCATTAAGCTGCTATTTTACGCTGGTATTCTGTGAGACCCGGTCTCCTTTCTCCGGACAAGTCGACGCATTCGTGCTGCAACTATACAATATTCCTTGAGAGCATAGTCTTCCGGTCCAGCTCGGGTCGAGATCCATTCGTGTCACAATCATAAAATCTATAGCTGCAGCGTGGTTCTACTAATAAAGGACAAGAACCCATCTTTTTAAACCAAGCTCAATCGTAAATCAGTACGTAAATTTAGGAAAGAAACTTCATAGTCATGCGTGATGTGTGGTTGTTTGGTTGTGCAGTTGTGTTGTGATGTGGTCGTGTAGTGCAGTGGCGGTGCGGCTGTACGGTAGTGTCGTGGTGTAGTGGCGGCGTGTGGTGCGGGCGGCACGTACGTGGTGGTGCTTGGCGCGCTTGTGCGGCGGGTCGTCGGGCGCCTCCTCGATCACCAGCTCGCCGCCCAGCGCCGCGCAGCCCTCCTCGCCGCCGCCGTAGCCGCCCCTGCGCAACACCAGCCCTCCTCCGTTACACATACACAACACACGGGACACAAGACAAACAATACCGGCTAAAGTAATGTTAACAACAATAATTAACCTATCGTATCGTCATAATTGATAAATACAACAGTTTACAAACACACCTTCATTTTTTTTTCTTTGTACACTAGGCACATTGTTGCCATTTGTTCAATTCACAAAGTTTAATTCAATAATTATATTCGACCACATAATTAATTCCGACTTCAATCTAAAGATGAATAAAGTAATTTCAACATGAAATATGAAATAATTTCATTCTTTTTAGTTTCTTCAAGTCAGCTTTTACACTCTGAGTCAAAATAACGTTCAGAAACTCGTCTAAATAAATCCATAAAAAAATTCATCCCCTATTTTTTTTCGAACCAGTGGTAAATGATTTTGTGGAAATGATTATTAATAATATGTATTAAATTAAAAGTCTGTTTCTGTTTCTATTAATTTTATTTAAAAAAATCATATATTCATAAAATTAGATAAATTAAAAAAAATCAACAATGTGCAAAAAATTATAGAGCAAACCCATTGAGGCATTGTTTTGTGTATTTAATATAATAATTTAGAAACTAACAAACTTATATTTAAAACTTACTTCTCATTTAAATAATATTGTGTGGCAAAAACTTCACCTTAGTGTGAACTAGCGACATCTGGTGAGCGGAAGATTATTAGCCCTTATTGTAAACCAATTAAAATCGGGTCGCAATCGACTCTTTTTTATTAACCGCTCGTTTGCTTCTTGCAACCACAGTTGCAAAAACAGAATCCTTTACTTTGCTCTATGCAACTGTGGTTGCAAAGAGTCGAAGTTCTTTTAATTGAATTTAGACATATTTTAAACGCACAGAGCCTAACTATTACGTATTAAAACCAAAGACAAATATATAAATTATAGATTTGGATCAAAATTACCAACCTCTTGGACGAAAAATATTGAAACTTTGTTAGTTAAACTTTAATGAGTGAAGTGACGCTTGAGTGGATTTAACGAGGTGATAAAATATGCCGTGAGTATTGAATTTTATTGATTTTTGCTAGTATTTATATACTAACTTAACGTCTTATTAGTTTTTTCTTGTATTAAAGTAATATTTTTGCAAATAGTGTATGAAAACTGTGATAAAGTCGACTTTTAAAAATACTCAGAAAGACGCGAATCTTAACATAATTTTCTATTGCTTACATTATCGTAATTACGTTGTATTCTTTAAATACGAAATAGTCGTAGTGGTATTTAATATAATTATTAAATTTAACTAATAAAGTTTTATAAATTGTTCATCATAATATGTTTTTATAACGCCAGTTGTACTAATCACACTTGCACGATCCGTGAATTCTTCATCGGGTTTCCCTTAATATTTTTACTATGTATTTAAATGTAAATCGTTTTATAATATAGATAAATATATCAAATAATTCATTAAGTTTAAGGATATAATAAATAATCATACACTTATCGATCTTATTTTTTTGATAAACCCGATGTTTTACAAAAAGTCGCTAAAATGGCTTGTACTTGTGATTTCAACACCTCTAAAATATATCATTTCTTATTTCAATGGCTATTTATAAAAAGTGCTCCTCTCGAGTAAATTAAGTTTTATTGACGGCGGGTCGAACGTGAGAAACACAGTCCCGATTACTGGCAAACTAAGCTACCCTTTTTTTGTTCGCAAGCAATCGAGCGGTTAAATAAAATACACCTCGGGGGTTCTACAACGACTTCAGAAGCTACTATGTGGCAATTATTTTATTCTTTTTAGTTTTTTGAGGTTGACTTTTATTTTTAATTTTTAAATTAATTCTTTGCGAACGGTCTTACTTCTGGCCTCTTTGATAGGCTTTGATGGTCATTGGAGCTTTAAATAAGCCTAAACTGAATAAAATACGAAACGAGAGATATTGGGCTTTACAGTAGCCTGTACATCCAAAATTTAATAACACCTATCTGTAGCTAAAGAATCAAATAATTTTAACTTTGAGTGAAGACTGTAACGAATCACACACAACGAATGGGGGAGCACCGCCATTTAGGGGTCGTGTCGTTAAAAGCGCTTTCTAGGTTAGAGTCCAGTTAATTTTGCTGTTGCTCTTCACCGATGGACCACTAAGTAGTGCATGGAAGGACGACTTGTCTGCTTCTACTGCTGAACTAGTTTACGGAGAACCGCTTACGTTACCCGGCGATTTGTTTGAACCGACTTCTGACAAACTGACCGATTACACCGACTTTCTGGACAGGTTGCGTTTACATATGAAAAAGTTACAACCTACAACAGTTACTCGACACGGCACGCGTAAAATCTTCGTTTTTAAAGACTTATCGACTGTTTCACATGTATTTTTACGACAGGACTTTGTACGGAGATCTTTGCAACCACCTTATGCCGGCCCGTATAAGGTAATAGAGCGCGGTGAAAAACTTTTCAAAATTGACATTGCTGGTAGGATAGTCAACGTCTCTATCGACAGACTAAAACCGGCCTATATCCTGACGGATGAACCAGGTAGTTCTGGTGCGTCGTCGACTGTGCCTATGACGCATGGGGCTAACGCTACTCCTGATGGTACAAGAGCACTTCGAACTCCTACGCAATTAAGGACGTCTAGCTACGGTCGCCGAGTACGATTCCCTGATTTTTATCGACCCTAAAGGTCTCCCGGTTGCTGATGTGGCGAGATGCACCTTTCTATTTTTGTTTATGTATTGAACGTCGCACACACCGACGAGATGTTCGTATCGGTTGCTGTCGAGAATGCTCGGCTACGTTCGGGCCGCCTTAATGACGGCCCGGGCGTCTTCGGTTTTCCCGGCAGTCTGCATTGAAACGGCCTCAGTTAGACCTCACGCTTTGCGCCGCCGGAGTAACGGTTTCCGTTCAAATCGCATAAATGTATTTTTGGCTTGCATATTTTAAATGTCTTTTGTACATTTAATTAATTGTATTTAGTCTTAATTTATATTGTTTGGTGTTGCAAACTGTCCTTTGGTAAAAAGAAAACATTATATTCTTGGAAGAGTGAAAGGCGTTTCCATCATTGCCTAGCGTAACCTCCCACAAACGTACACAATATTCACGTACAAAACAGGGCCGCATCTACGACACGGCCACAAACCGATTTTTTTATTTTTAAGTTTGAATCAGGATATAAACGAATGCTGTCTCAGGGAAATATTATGAAAGTACAACTGAAAACTATTGTTAAACTAACCCCTACCCTCCCATGTCTCCAAATAAAGCTAACTAGGCAAACGATGTTATTTCTTCAACTGCAGGCCGCCAGAGCCTGTGCCCTTATTGTTGTACCCCCTCCCCCTTGCCATGTCTTCAAAAATAAAGCTAACTACGCCAAAGAATACCCAGGTTTTAGTACTCACGAGTAGTACGGCGAATGGTGCAGTACGACCCCGGGCGAGTCTTCTTCCTTCAACACAAGGCCGCCTGCGCCCGTGCCAACAACGTACTTCTCTGTACAAAAAAAAAGAAATAGAAACTTTTATATTCAATATAGGTTATAAATAATACTTATTGAAATTATTTTATATCGTTACCCCCACTACTAGGATTATCTTACGTATCGTGGAAGCAGTTTACGAACATAAATTGTACAAGAACAAACATCCAGATTTAAAACAATTACTTGTGGTTATATAAATATTTGTTGCGTGCGTACTCATAAAAATTAAACCCGCGACCCCCAGCGCTGCAACTCATTGCTAAGTCACTGCGCCACGGAGCCATAATTGATCATCTGGTTTAATGAATAAGTGTAAAAAGTTGGGTGGGTAATGTTAAGATCTTTATCTTTTGCCTCGCAGTCTATCTTTGTAGAAAACACTCTCTTAGCTGTTCCTAACGCAAAATAACAGTGCTTGCACTTTTGTGCTCCTGTCCGAAGGGTATAAAGTCAATATAATTACGACTGTAAGGCATTCCATCCCAGTCCTCAAGACGTGACACCACATCTACAAGCCTTCTTAATTTGAAGTTGGTTGCAAGTGTCCACGGGTTGCAGTAACAACTTACCATTAGGCTGATTATAAAATCGTTTGCGACTTCATCTTTTTTTTATATATCTAATATTATAGCGGTCTCATGAGACCGCGGCCATATTCTGTCAAATCCCTAGCGGTCTCATGAGGTCGCACCCAGACACAGCACTTTAACCCATAAAATTTATATATATACATTCTCCACTTTTCTATGAAGAAGTTTTATATAATCAATATGAAATACTTTATCCTCTAGTGTAATCTGTTATGCTATGAATATTTATTTATAATCTACGTTCATTTCTTACGCCATTTTCGTCTGAATGTTACTGTCTTGATTTTAGGATTTTTCTAGTGTTTTATTAGTGTTTTAGTATAGTGTTTTATTATAAAATTGTAATGAAAGTTTTTATGTGAATATAATTTATCTTTTTACGTAAATAATTTCAAGTAATATATATTGAAATAATTGTGATTTTCATGCTCCCGACATTCGCTTGGTATGTTTTTTTTTTTTTTTGTTATCAAAATACAATAAAATCTTTTTGTAATGAAGTAAAACCTGACTTTTGTTTAGACCACAAGATAGAGAATTTTGTATAGATTTTATAATGCTAAAGTTCTTCATAGAAAAGCAGTTTCTCAATATAAGTTTTAATGGTTTTAAGTGCTGTAGGTGGGTGTGATCGCTTGGGACCGCTCCGGATTTGCCGAGCGCATGCGACTGCATGGGATTTTTATGGCGCTTGAAGGGTTAAAGTTGAACTGTGAATGTCCAAAATAATTTTTTTAAAGAAAAATAAATCTACCTTCTCTCTCTCCACCTGCTCCGTTAGTGACGACTGTCATCACTAGACCACTCCCGCCCGCGTTATAGGACATTCCGTGACCTAGAAACATACCCTCTAGTTTGTACAGAGTACATATAATAATTAAATAAAATGTCCTCCAGACTGCACACCTAAGCAGGAGATGAGTGCATGCACACGGGCATAGTGCCCAAGTGCATACACTCACAGCACAGGTGCACTCTCCATTATTTCGCTGGGGCGGCATTCCAAGGCGCCCGGAAAGAGATCAGGCACAGGACTGACGTTTTATGTGCTTTTCGAGACACGGGGGTGAAACACCGCCAACTTCCTGACTCCGGGCCGCTACTAAGAAACTCTTGACAAAAAAAACATATCTCAAACGCCCATTTTATTTCGCATGTTTTCCACAATTTTTATTATTGAATAGCCTCTAATTTGAACCTAAGACTAATTATAAACTAAAAGTAATGTTCTCTTCTTTTTGTAGAGTAATAAGGCTTAATGATAGTGTATGGACTGCAAATTCATGATAGTCGGTTTGAATCCACCATTAACTACTGTGGCGAACCAGTCTTAACACATGCATTTTTAAGCTTACTTAAGAGCGGTTAACAGGAATATTAGCAATGTTAATAGCGTTACTACTAGTATTTTTAGTTTTTAATTTTTTTTTTAAATAAGAAGGCCTGCTACCAACAAAAGTAAATAATATCGAAGATATAAAAGATGAGTTACCTGGAGAGCCAGGAGCGCTCTGACTGACGCCGCTGCGCTGAGGGAACAGATACTGCGAGGACTGGCCGCCTCCATTGTTGTTGCTGCTGTTGTTGAGCCGCTGCTGGCTCGACTGACACAATAATAACACTGATTTGGTGCAAATAAACAAAATACATAATATATTATACCATATAATATATACAATTGGTAGAGCGCTGCAGCTATATTATGGTTGTAGCACTAATGGGAAGGCTCTAAACAGTAAAGACCCACGCACTCACAAAATACTAGCGTAAAAACACCTTAATACTGCTGTGTTTCACATGGTGAGTGTAGAGAATCGGAGACCTTTGTTACTGGAAATGAGACATTCCATCTTAGGCCTTAAGAGTGACACAACGCATCTGCATTTCGATACTTAATTGAAAATAAAAAAAAAGAAACAAAAGAAATATTAAAGTCCTACCCGGGGGAGAAAGAACAAAAAAAACCCCCCCGGGTTCCAAACACATACAAAAAAATGTGACCCCCCCGGGTTACTAAATAACCCTAAAAAAAAAAAAATGGCCAACCCCCAAAAAAAAAACGGGGGGATAGCCCCCAAAAAAAACTCAATCCCCAACCTTTTTTTTTTTTTTATATATATTTTTAGGAAAAAGAGGGGACAAGAAAATATTATTTTTTTTTGCTTTATCCCCTCCCTAAAAAAAAATAGCCGCCCCCACAAAAAAAAAAGATAGATACAGACGTCTATGAGCCACAGCATCCACTTACAATTAGGTGGACAGTGCGCTCTTTTGTCACTCTTATCATGCGCACTCTATAAATAAAATAGTGTCCGAACGAGCAAATCGTCCCCGTCATCCCAGCGATGGAGATTTTGTAATACCACCACTGCCAGAGAAGCCAGTTTTCATTTTTTTATATGGTAGATGGTTCTGTTTACTCTGAAAAATATACAAGTTTTCAACAACAAACTCTTTGGATTTCTTTGTTTTACACAAGAAACCCCTGACTGAAGAAACACTGTATAATCGATTTTCGTTGTGGTGGTGGTGCAAGATGTCTAATTCCAAAAAGATCTCTCTCAGAGTTTTTATGTACAGAATAAAGGTGACCCATAGATATCTACTACAAGAGCCGTGGTAGCTCATATGGTTAACGCTCGCTGTAAATATAACAGAACACGAGTAACCCGGGTTCGATCCCCGCCGGCACGAATTAAATTGTTTAATTGCAATTTTAAGTGCTGATTTACCACGTGCTCGGCGGTGATGGAAAATATCGTGACGAAACCTGCATGTCTGAGTAATAAGAAAAAAAATATTACGAAGAAATGTCAAGTTCGCCAACACGCATTGGAGCAGCGCGGCGGACACTTCCTTGCCCTGAAACCCTCTCAGAAATGAGGGGAGGCCTGTGCCCAGCAGTGGGGACGTTTATAGGCTGTAGCGTTACTTTTTTTTTTAACTTTTATGAATATCTACATATATACTCAACTAAAAGTCAAAATGCTAATTTGTTGTCACTCTTGACGACTAAGATGGAATGCCTCACTAACAGTAAAAATGGGGTCCAGTAGTAAGTATACCATACAACCATACGAAACGTAACATTACTCTGCTATTTCACACTGGTATACATTGAGAATTGGTCTAACCCCAGATGAGCCAACCTATTCTTGCTGCATCCATAATATAGTTGCAGCATGGCTCTACCACTTGAAGAGTAAGTATAAAAGCATAATCAAGCCAATTGTGCATGTATTTACAGTTATGGACAAATTTGCAGCACTGTATGTTACCTTGCAGCATTACTTCATGGACACAAAGAAAACAAAATGAAGTCATTGCATCAACAATGGTTTCTAGACCCTTCCTCTGTCAGTTACAGGTATCTTGATAACTCCCTTATGAACTAAAAGGTACATTTACCTGTTGCTCAGATTCTTCACCAGTGAACAGGTCAGGAGTGGGCTCTCGGGACAACTCTTCAGGAGTCACCAAGCCCGAGACTCCCACCTGCGAGGGAGAGGTGGGAGCGCTCCTGTGGACAACAGATACATATTACTCTCAACCTTACACACTTTATTAGCAAAACCAAATTTTCGTTGGTGGATTTTGTTACATCGATATGAGTGAGGTAAAACTCTCATATTAAATTAATCATGCAGGTGTTTAGGGCTGTCATTTTCAGTTATGTGTGTGATATCCAAGAGGTTTTTACAGCTTAGTCGGACTCAAGGCGGCTGTGAAGTAAGCTACAAGCTACGAGACGGATCACAAAACATATTTTGTATATCAGAAGGGGAAGTAAGTAGTTATCCCTATAGGGATCGTATGATCGTATATGATATGGCCGAGCTACCCTTGCAATGTGACATCCACCGTGCATTTTTCAATGACTGCCTATATCGTTGATTCGTACTGTGGTAATTTTCAATGTTGTTTGTTTTTGGTATCATTTGTTTTAGCTATCTATATGCCAGCTGGCGTGGCTTATCACACAATAAAATAAAATTGGTCTTCAATACTTGGATAAAGTTTTACAAAATAGTTAATTTAATTCTTATGTCAAAATTAAAAAGGTAAATTTTCAAAGATAGTAATTGCTAAGTTAAAAACATTTAAAAGTCAAAACCATACCTATATAATAAAATATTTAAGGACGGCAATGTCACTGTTCTCTATTTTGTTAGCACAATTTTATTAATCGCATTGAGGATTAACTTTATCGTTTATTTGTCTAGTAAATAGTTATTTATCTACATTGTGATTTGTTGTTGTTGTATTTTGATTGATTTTTGTGTACAAGTAAAAAGGGTTAAAGTTAGCCGTATCCTTTATTTTATGAAATATTTTGTAATTTTATAATTCCATGTTGTAAGAGAGAGAAAAATAAGATACTAATAATAATTTGTACAAGAATATTAAATATTTACTATGCACTGAGAAGCAACAAAGTGTTTTATCATAGAACAGCTTTCATACTTCAGTTACCAACGGGCACTCTTTAATTCTTTATAAAGAGAAAGACAATGTTAGATAAATGATTTTTAAGTTTTTACTCAGAGGCGAAACAAATTTAACTTCATTTTATTAAAAACAAAACTATTCATAGTTGTTTATGGAGGGTGTTAACTTTTGGTGACCATTTTGAATATAGTACATTTATATTTATTATATAGTACATTTATATTTATTATATAGTAGCATGTGGGTCAATTGCTTTTTGGGCCTGTGACTGTATTTAGTGTTATATACTTTTGGATTTCCGTCTCTCCATGGTTGTTCTCCTGTAGTTACATGAGAAAAAATAATATATTTGTGTAAAAGGACTACAAATGATTTAAACCAGTGATGCACAGACTTACTAAGACTAGGGGCCACTCGGACAAATTGTGAACTGATGGCGGGCCGCCAGAAGTATAGGTAATTATGAACTGATGGCGGGCCGCCAGAAGTATAGGTAATTATGAACTGATGGCGGACCGCCAGAAGTATAGGTAATTATGAACTGATGGCGGGCCGCCAGAAGTATAGGTAATTATGAACTGATGGCGGGCCGCCAGAAGTATAGGTAATTATGAACTGATGGCGGGCCGCCAGAAGTATAGGTAATTATGAACTGATGGCGGGCCGCCAGAAGTATAGGTAATTATGAACTGATGGCGGGCCGCCAGAAGTATAGGTAATTATGAACTGATGGCGGGCCGCCAGAAGTATAGGTAATTATGAACTGATGGCGGGCCGCCAGAAGTATAGGTAATTATGAACTGATAGCGGGCCGCCAGAAGTATAGGTAATTATGAACTGATGGCGGGCCGCCAGAAGTATAGGTAATTATGAACTGATGGCGGGCCGCCAGAAGTATAGGTAATTATGAACTGATGGCGGGCCGCCAGAAGTATAGGTAATTATGAACTGATGGCGGGCCGCCAGAAGTATAGGTAATTATGAACTGATGGCGGGCCGCCAGAAGTATAGGTAATTATGAACTGATGGCGGGCCGCCAGAAGAGAGGTAATGAACTAATAATGAACTGATGGCGGGCCGCCAGAAGTATAGGTAATTATGAACTGATGGCGGGCCGCCAGAAGTAGAGGTAATTATGAACTGATGGCGGGCCGCCAGAAGTATAGGTAATTATGAACTGATGGCGGGCCGCCAGAAGTATAGGTAATTATGAACTGATGGCGGGCCGCCAGAAGTATAGGTAATTATGAACTGATGGCGGGCCGCCAGAAGTATAGGTAATTATGAACTGATGGCGGGCCGCCAGAAGTATAGGTAATTATGAACTGATGGCGGGCCGCCAGAAGTATAGGTAATTATGAACTGATGGCGGGCCGCCAGAAGTATAGGTAATTATGAACTGATAGCGGGCCGCCAGAAGTATAGGTAATTATGAACTGATGGCGGGCCGCCAGAAGTATAGGTAATTATGAACTGATGGCGGGCCGCCAGAAGTATAGGTAATTATGAACTGATGGCGGGCCGCCAGAAGTATAGGTAATTATGAACTGATGGCGGGCCGCCAGAAGTATAGGTAATTATGAACTGATGGCGGGCCGCCAGAAGTATAGGTAATTATGAACTGATGGCGGGCCGCCAGAAGTAGAGGTAACTATGAACTGATGGCGGGCCGCCAGAAGTATAGGTAATTATGAACTGATGGCGGGCCGCCAGAAGTAGAGGTAACTATGAACTGATGGCGGGCCGCCAGAAGTATAGGTAATTATGAACTGATGGCGGGCCGCCAGAAGTATAGGTAATTATGAACTGATGGCGGGCCGCCAGAAGTAGAGGTAATTATGAACTGATGGCGGGCCGCCAGAAGTAGAGGTAATTATGAACTGATGGCGGGCCGCCAGAAGTAGAGGTAATTATGAACTGATGGCGGGCCGCCAGAAGTATAGGTAATTATGAACTGATGGCGGGCCGCCAGAAGTATAGGTAATTATGAACTGATGGCGGGCCGCCAGAAGTAGAGGTAATTATGAACTGATGGCGGGCCGCCAGAAGTAGAGGTAATTATGAACTGATGGCGGGCCGCCAGAAATATAGGTAATTATGAACTGATGGCGGGCCGCCAGAAGTATAGGTAATTATGAACTGATGGCGGGCCGCCAGAAGTATAGGTAATTATGAACTGATGGCGGGCCGCCAGAAGTATAGGTAATTATGAACTGATGGCGGGCCGCCAGAAGTATAGGTAATTATGAACTGATGGCGGGCCGCCAGAAGTATAGGTAATTATGAACTGATGGCGGGCCGCCAGAAGTATAGGTAATTATGAACTGATGGCGGGCCGCCAGAAGTAGAGGTAATTATTAACTGATGGCGGGCCGCCAGAAGTATAAGTAATTATGAACTGATGGCGGGCCGCCAGAAGTATAGGTAATTATGAACTGATGGCGGGCCGCCAGAAGTATAGGTAATTATGAACTGATGGCGGGCCGCCAGAAATATAGGTAATTATGAACTGATGGCGGGCCGCCAGAAGTATAGGTAATTATGAACTGATGGCGGGCCGCCAGAAGTATAGGTAATTATGAACTGATGGCGGGCCGCCAGAAGTATAGGTAATTATGAACTGATGGCGGGCCGCCAGAAGTATAGGTAATTATGAACTGATGGCGGGCCGCCAGAAGTATAGGTAATTATGAACTGATGGCGGGCCGCCAGAAGTATAGGTAATTATGAACTGATGGCGGGCCGCCAGAAGTATAGGTAATTATGAACTGATGGCGGGCCGCCAGAAGTAGAGGTAATTATGAACTGATGGCGGGCCGCCAGAAGTATAGGTAATTATGAACTGATGGCGGGCCGCCAGAAGTAGAGGTAACTATGAACTGATGGCGGGCCGCCAGAAGTATAGGTAATTATGAACTGATGGCGGGCCGCCAGAAGTAGAGGTAATTATGAACTGATGGCGGGCCGCCAGAAGTATAGGTAATTATGAACTGATGGCGGGCCGCCAGAAGTATAGGTAATTATGAACTGATGGCGGGCCGCCAGAAGTATAGGTAATTATGAACTGATGGCGGGCCGCCAGAAGTATAGGTAATTAAAGACAATAAAGAATTGATAATAATGTATTAAAATTGAAAAAGAATTTATTAATTTGAAGCGTGGCACTGCATAGTGCTTACAATCTTTGTTATATTTGGCTCAAATTTACTTGTAGCAACACGTAAAACTGCTTCCAAACTTTCATTTGCAAGACGGTTTCGATTTTTTGTTTTATTATTATTTAGTATTGAAAAGGTACATTTCAGAGCGTTTATGCGCAACTCCTTGTACGTATTTTTATCAATGCAGCGGTAAAAGTTCAGCAAGTCTCCTTCGTTGAATTTGTTGCGTAAATCTTGGTCGTTTTGAATGTCGATAATTTATAACTGCATTGACCTGGCGCATTTTCAACTGAAATCGTGAAAGGATTGCTGAATATGTCCAACAGAGGTTTCACTTTTTTAAACTCCGAAAATCTGTCTAAAAAAATGAAATTAATCGTAGTTTTGTTGAATTTTTCAGCCATTTTCTTATAAGTAATTCGGAAAATGATTGTAATTTCCAGAATTCAATTGCGATCTGAAAAGTGTCAGCTTGCATTGAAAGGATTATACATGAGCGTAGAGCTGGGATATCAGTTGATTTTTGCCTTGAAGCCGTGTGTTCAAGACATTCAAATGATTTGTAATATCAACTAAAAAAGCCAAATCACACAACCAATCAGGATTTTTTAGTTCCGGGACATCCCTTTGCTTGTCCGCCAGAAATATTCAATTTCCTCTATTAAATTTAGAAATCGTTCCAGTGTCAATCCACGACTTAGCCACCTTACTTCTGTATAATACAGTAAATCTCCATATTCGCTTTCGATGTCATCAAGGAATTGTTTGAATTACCTGTGATTGAGTCCTCCTGATTTTATGAAATTTACAGTCGAAACTACCACTTTCATGACATTTTGATATTCAATTTTTTTAGAACAGAGTGCTTCTTGGTATATAATGCAGTGAAACTGCATGAGATCTTCAGCGTTTATGTTTTTTCTTGGAGATGCTTTTTCAGCAAAGTAACTAGCCCAGAATTGACACCAATCATCGAAGGAGCACCGTCAGTCGCAACTCCCGATAATTTTGATAAGTTCAAATCAGTTTTTTAACACTCATCCAAAAGTACATTGAGTATATCAACTCCTCTGGTTTGACCTTTCAAATAACACATTCCTATTAACTCTTCTAAGGCTTCAAAATCTTGAGTAACACCTCGTATGAATATCAGAAGTTGAGCTGTGGAACTAATATCAGTGGATTCGTCGAGTGCTAATGAAAAAAATTCAATGATCTTAGTTTTTTCATTTAAAAGTCGTCTTTCGATAGTCATACGATTCAGTTGAATTTTCTCAAACTTTTTTGCTGCTTCTGGACACATTTTCTTAGCGGCAATTTCTATGCATTCTTTACAAAATCCCCATCATTGAAGGGGCGACTTCGTTTTGCTATCATTCGAGAAATTTCATAACTAACTTCTGTAGCTGTTTCTGAATCTTGAATGGGCTTTGTAAACATAGCTTGCTGACCAATAAGCTCCCGTTTTAAAGACAACATTTTTTGCTTTCTTAATTCGCCTGTAAATAAAAGTAGGATGCTGCGTTTCATAGTGCCTTTTTACATTATATTCCTTTGCAATCGCAACAGAATTCTTGCAAATTAAACAAAACGACTTTGTTATGCGACCATACAAAAAAGTATTTCTCAGTCCAAATTTCTTGAAACTGCCGATTTTCATCTTTAACCTTACGTTTTTTACTAGGTCCTGGTTTGTCCATGTTGCGTTCCAATCCTGGCTAGGATTAACACAGCACCTAAAAACAATTACAGTACCTACTTAAATTACCCATCCTTTTTTAAATTACCAAAAATAATTGATTAAATAGGTAGGGAAACACTTATTAATAACAGAGTTTTACTTACGATTTCACAACACAATTATACACGGCACTTGACGGGAAATCTACGTTGAATGTGGATCAAAATATATGACACCGGCTAGTCGAGTTAAAATCTACACTAGAAATATTGACACTTCAGTCAAATTAAAACCGAACTGTCGGTCGCTGCGGTTAGCGTGGCTTTTATACCGCGCGTATAGAGTCGAAAACTGTCTGAAGAAATCACGAAACCGACTCTGGAAGCTTCGTGTATTCTACGCGAGCAATCGGGAATTCGGGACTATTGCTATCTCGCTTGCTCTAACAATATAACCCGTGGATAAGCCGCCACCGCGCTGCCGTCGTCGCCGCGCCGCCGGCCGCGGCGGTTCCTCAAGAAAACGAATTTAACCGAGATCAGTACGAACATTACCGACCGCTGTTACCGACGCATGCACGGCGCACCGATAAGCGCACTTAAGAGCGCGCGCGCGAGATTCAAATTACTTTTCGAACATATTTTTTTTTTTTGGTTTTATTCTGGAATATAATTCAATATTTTGCGAATGTACGAGAGTATTATTTTTGCTGTCGGCAGGCCACCAGTATTCGACCGGCGGGCCGCGGTCTGTGCATCTATGATTTAAACTAATACAATCCTATTTTTCTAACAACTGTGATTCTAATGATTCACTATACAACCACCTATATTACATATTATTCTTTACTGATTAATTAACAACAATATTATTTTGCTTTATTTTTAAATCTACGTACACTCTATTGAATCTGCATACTTACATAGGTATGTATATAATAATTAAAATAGGTTAGAATTCTATCGTCGACTCACCACTACATACAGCTGTATTTACTATATAAGTTGTTAATTAGCCGAATAATTTTTAATAACAAGTTATAAAAAATTATTTGGTTAATTTTTAATAACTTTTGTTAACGAATGTACCTGGACCAATTTCTCGTAGAAGCTAACTTCACAGTCGCAAACTTATGTGGCGCGTTCTGTAACATTATTTATGAGCGATATTAAGTGCTACAGACATCGTCGGGTCGTGTTGTGCTTAGGTTGTGTTGTGATGGTCGGGAACAAGTATATATATTGAAATAATACTAGTTTTTACGGAATTTATCGCGTATATTTAACTTTTTAATTACCCGACGTTTCGAACGCTGTACAGCACTCATGGTCACGGGCAGGACTGAGATGTTTTTAAAGATTTTTAAAGATGACGTCCATATGTCATAGTTAACCGCGGTTACCATAGATTAAATTTTAATTTTAATCATTAAGTATATATATATATATATATATATATATATATATATATATATATATATATATATATATATATATATATATATAAAGTGTGTAAGTGTAAACACCGTTGTCACTGAAACCATAGGCACTGGTTGGCTTTAATATAAAAATATTTATCCGATTTTTTTAAAAAAGAAACGCTATTTTCTTTTAAAATTAAAAAAGTTTCTGTCCGACACCGTCCGTAAATTCATGGATACCCTATGCGCTCGAGTGACATAATCACTGTAAAGATCACCGCCCGCCCTTGCTACCTACACCACATTTCAATATAAACACAATGGTACACATAACCTATCATGAAACTTTTCCTTCATACTTTCACACTTGCTTAGGACAGATAAAAATTCCTACCCTTTGTGTTGCGTGACGAGTAAAAATTAATGTAAGTTAAATTTAACAACAAAGAAAATTAAACACTAATAATAGTAAATAGTAAATCATTAGGTAGGATTTATGGCGTATTTACCGTATACCGTACCGCGGCCCTGGAACGCAAAGGGCATTTGAAGCATAAGCTGACCGTTCATTGTACGGAAAGATCATACAAAGCGACGCCAAGACAAAGGATTTGTACAGCTTGATGTGTAGCCTGATTGATTGGTTATTTACACTTACCTATTAAATAAAATCCTCGTAAATGAATTCCATTTTGATCAGCTTTTACATTAATCGTAAAAGCTAGAAGCACAACAGTGTCATTTCTCTAAATACACTAAGAATTCGCCTTTTGAGTCGGACGTATTTCGGAACTTAGTTGCATACACTCGGCGCTTCACTTCTCCCCAAAGATAAAAGTCCAGAGGGGTAAGGTCGGTTCATCGCCCAGGAAACTCCTCAACCAGCATACCCGATTTTCAGCTGAAAATGTGCAGGGGCACCGTCATGTTGGTAGTAGAGGTTTCTCAGTGAACGAAGAGGCACATTTCCACTGCACGTTTATGTAGGACATAATTACAAATTAAATACACTCGCACCAAAACTACAACCTAAAGCGACGTAGAATGTCGGCACTGCGCGGCGCGATTTTAAATCAAATTAACACGTACATTCCGTACCGACGCAGCGAAGGTGACTGACACACTGACACAGTGACATTGGGCTTGACCGCGAATCGCTGCCGCTACCTACGATATGTTGAGTTTTTTGTTGTGAATTCTGTAGGTATATCCCTACTTGCCTAGGGTGAAATAATTGTAAGAAAAAATTGAGATTTGACTAAAAAAAATGATGTTATTTTTCATTGAAATTACTTTCTATAAGTGAAACCAAACCACTGGTTTCAAAGACAACGGTGTTTACACTAACACCCTGTATATATATATATATATATATATATATATATATATATATAAATTTAAGATAGTCATCAAAACCCATATATTGCATCATTTTTTGATTTTTTTTAAAAATGTCCCAAAGCTTCAGGCATTGCTCTCTAACTGTTTGTCAAGTTTCATTACAATCAATTCAGCCATTCCGTAGATTAGCTCGGAAAGAAATAAAAGACACAATTTTTATTTTTTATTTTGCATTTCTTTAATTCAAATAACCCCCTGAGCTTAAAAGAGGTCAGTTATTTCTTCTTTAATTTTATTTACATGTATCAGTAAAAATAACTAATGGGCTGCAATTTGTATAGAGTTTAGGAACCCTGCTTTTTTATCAATTCACGACGAAAAGTCTTTAGATGGAGTGATTTTTGGCAGGAACTTGACCGGCAGCGGATTGCTACTCGTGTATTAGTGTATAAATAATAGTTTGAAATAGATTTTGATACGTAGAAGTTGTACGATTTTATGTATTAAATGTCTGTGCATGTGAACTATTATGGCAATGATGAAACAAGTGCTCAAATGGTGATTTGCACCTCAATATAAGGTGTCTGCCTAATATACTGCCTAAAGATACTATCGTCATTGACTGTCTGCTCAAGCTGCTAGCCCAATGTGACATATTGTGTAGAGGTTATCTTTTTTTCTTGAAAAACATTAAACACTACACACTAGGTTAAGAAAAGTTACCTTTATTACAGAATTTTCGCCTGTATCGTGGGAGCAATTTAAATACATAAACTTCACAACGATGTTCGGTCCAGTCGCGGAATTATTATTTGTAGGTTATACAAATACTTATTCTGTACGGGATTCGTACCCGAGTCCCTCAGCGCTGCAACTCATTGCTCAGCCATTGCCATTTTTTTTTCGTTTTAGAACATATTATTTTAAAGCATAATTTCTCAACAAAGTTGACACTGGCACAAACGCAACAGTACATTAACAAAAAAGAACAAAGACTTTACGTGGTCTTACGTCCTTGTGCCCACTCACCGCGAGGAGAGTCCAAATGGCGCTCGGAACTGGACTCCACGCGGTCGTCGCGGGCGGAAGGCAAGCTCGATGAGCTTGCCTTCGCTCTGCGGGTCGATGCGCCAGAAGCTGCCCTTCCCCGGCTCCTCCTGGCTGCGGGGCACCTTGATGAAATATCTGCAATCACGACCATCGTTTTATTTATTGTTGAATTGGAAATAAAAAACAAAATTTTGCAATCGTAAGGCACAGGTAGTAATAACTTTATTCATTCATTACAGCCCTTTAAAGTCCACTGCTGAACATAGCCCTCTCCAAGGAAAACCATAAAGCACAGTCCCAAGCAAACTGCATCCATCAACTTCCATCTAGTGGGAGGCCGCCATACACGTCACCTACCAGTACGAACGAAGCTGCCACTCGAGAACCTTTCTTCCTCATCGGTTGTCGGTTCTTCGAGCTTTATGACCAGCCCATTGCTACTTCAGCTTACTACCTATTGGGGGACTTCACATAACCTTAAAAATACTTTATTCCTCGGACATAGTTCAGGTTTTTTCGCGGTGTTTATGTAATAAAATTGTTAATTGCAGTTTAGTTGCTTGTCACCTAAAACCAATTAATAATTTCATTGGCAACCTTGGCTGTAAAATCTACTACCGATTACAAAACCGATAATTGGTAAATTTTAGGCGTTAATAAAACATGAATACACATTAGTCGTAAAATAAACGAGTAGGTGTGAGTGAATACCAGCATCAAATAGCAGATGTGCTCAACCCTTTTAGCAGTCTTTTTATAATTTTAATGTGAAATTACATGGCTATGCTGCAGCTATTTAGTTGTAGCACGAGTCTGTCAGCTCCATAGGGGAAGGATTATGCTCTCACAGTATGCTATTGTGAAACAGCAGCTTAATGCTGCTTTGGTTCGTATGGAATAACGAGCACCATAGACCCTTTTTACTGGCATCGATCAACTCCATCTTGGTTCTCAGGGGTGAGAATGCATTTTGATTCTTATACAAAAATAAAGTAAAGTAAAGTACGGCCCCCTTGTTACCATTTCTTACCCATCGTTTCCACGAGCACATAACTTCAACCACTAGTACCACTCTTGGTTAAGCTCCTTGGACGATAAATTGAGATGTTTTTCGTTTGTTACCAAATGCTACCTTACACTGGGTTCATATAGTTACCTATTGAGCGACAGATTATGACGTATCGAGTTCTGCCAGCCCTTGTCCGCGGTGCGATAGTACGGATAGTGCTTAGTGATGTAGCTGTAGATGCCGCTAAGCGTGAGCTGCTTGTCCGGAGCGGAGGCGACCGCTTGAACGATCAGTTGCGCGTAACTGTACGGCGGTTTTGCGTCATCTCGGGCTTCCCTGTGCTCGCGGGATTCTCGGGTGTCGCGCGAACTGTACGCGGATTCGGTTGTCGTTGACGAGGCCTGGAAATTTGGATTTATATATGTGTAACTCGAAAGTAAAAAAAAAACGGATGAAATATTACACTGAAATTGTGTGAAGCACAGTAGGTCCTACAACTTTCTTTATAATACACGTTATACACGTACATAAAATGCCCACACTTTCCATACATTGAATGACCTGTCACTTGATTCCTTTAACAGGTCGCGTTTACCTACAAATACTATTGTATAAGAACAGTTATTGTTTATAATAACATAATAACTTATCATCTTTTCATTTAGAAGCTAGGGATAAATGCTATTAAGTAATTTAAAGTTTGAGATTATAACAGTTGTCAGATAAGTTCTGTACTCTTATTTTTCTTTCCATACCATAGTGCAAAACCATTAAAAATCGTATCTAATCATCATTGAAGTAATATGTACTTACGTACTATAACAGCTATCTCAAACAAAAAATGTGCGCTACTCTGTGTTCGGGCGGTTGGTTTTTTATCATAGAATAAACATAGGTAGAATGATCCGTAGGTAATAGTACAATGTATTGTTAAATAGGTAAATTATATCGAGAACAATATTTAAATTTTGTCATTTATTTTGTATATTATATTTGCTTATTTAATATAATATTACATAATATTATATCACAATTACATTTTAATGATATTTTTATCCGAATATTTTAAAAGGTATCTATGTCAAATATAAAAAAAATATTAAATGTATGTTTATCAAAACTTCATCATCATATCATTTAAATTACAGCCCTTCACAAGTCCACTGCTGAACATAGGCCTCCCCCAAGTAATGCCACAAAGCACGGTCCTGAGCCACCTGCATCCATCGACTTCCTGCATGTCTTACCAGGTCGTCACTCCATCTAGTGGGGGGTCGCCCTACACTACGCCTACCGGTACGAGGCTGCCACTCGAGAACCTTTCTTCCCCATCGGTTATCGGTTCTTCGAGCTATATGGCCGGCCCATTGCCACTTCAGCTTACTAATCCGTTGGGCTATGTCGGTCACTCTGGTTTTACTGCGGATATCCTCATTTCTGAGTCTATCACGCAGAGAAACTCCGAGCATAGCCCTCTCCATAGCTCGCTGAGCGACCTTAAGCGTCCTCATACGGCCAGCAGTGAAGGACCACGTCTCAGATCCGTAAGTCATCACTGGCAACACGCACTGGTTGTACAATCTAGTTTTTAGAGATTGAGGTATACCTGACGAAAAGATATGCCGTAATTTCCCGAACGCTGCCCAGCCGAGTTGAATCCGTCGATTGACCTCTCGGTCGAAGTTGGACTTACCTAGTCGGACTATTTGTCCCAGGTAAACGTATTCGTCAACAACTTCGAGCATAGTGCTCCCAACAACTACCGGCATAGGTGTGACATGGACATTGAACATGATCTTTGTTTTGTCCATGTTCATCTTAAGACCTATCCGTTGGGAGGCACTATTGAGGTCATTGAACATAGTGCTTAAGTCCTCCAGCGATTCTGCCATAAGGACTATATCGTCGGCAAATCGAAGGTGAGTGATGTACTCGCCATTGATGTTAATACCATATCCTTTCCAGTCCAGTAGCTTGAAAACGTCTTCCAATGCAGCGGTGAAGAGTTTCGGGGATATAACGTCACCCTGTCTTACACCTCTCTGCAGTTGGATAGGTTTCGAGCTCTGGTTCTGTACTCGGATAGCCATCGTAGCCCTACTGTACAAACACTTCAGCACTTCGATATACCGACAGTCAACTTGGCACCGCTGAAGGGACTGTAGCACCGCCCAAATTTCGACGGAATCAAAGGCTTTCTCATAGTACACATACGCCAGGCAAAGTGGCAGATTGTACTCTTCAGTCTTCTGTACAATCTGCCGCAGGGTATGTATGTGGTCTATGGTACTGAAGCCTTTTCGGAAACCGGCTTGTTCGGGAGGCTGGAAGTCGTCAAGTCTGCGTGCGAGACGATTCGTAATGACTCTCGAAAACAGCACGTAGACGCGGCTCAGAAGGGAAATCGGTCTGTAGTTCTTTAAGAGAGCGTTGTCGCCTTTCTTAAAGAACAAGACCACCGCACTTCTGCTCCACGCCTCTGGAGTAGTGCCACCATGGAGGACGGAATTGAAGAGCTTCTGAAGGACTTCAAGTACCGGTGTTCCACCCGCTTTCAGAAGCTCCGCTGTAATTCCATCCTCGCCTGGGGCCCTGCCGTTTTTAAGGTGCTGGAGAGCCATTCTAATCTCGCTTAGACTGACGTCCGGGATATCATCGGAATAGTGTCGGATAAGACTTGCTCTTGGATCGTTACTCACACTTGCGTGTGGCTCCAACGATGATGTGTACAGCTGCCCATAGAACCTCTCAATCTCACTCAAAATCTCAGGTGTCCCGGAAACGATGTTGCCACACTCAGTCTTCAGCCTTGACAGTTGGCTCTTTCTGGCAGACAGATCTCTGGCAAAGACTTTGGAGCCCTGGTTCCGCTCGATCGCTTCTTTAATACGAGAAGTATTAAAGTTGCGTAAGTCTCGCCGTATGCATTTGGAGATCTGTCTGTTCAGTTGCCTGTATGCTGTCAAATCTGTTGACGATTGCAGCCTCATCTCCCGTCTAACAGCCATGAGATTAAGAGTGTGATCGGAGAGTTTTTGTGTTCTTCTGCGGCGGGTCTTGCAGAACTTAGCTCCGACCGCATGGACAGTTTCCACGAGCTTGTCGTTCATATCGTCCACTGCATTGCAATCTTCTAGGCACTGGAAGCGGTTACGTAACTCGAGCTGAAAGGTTTCGGGATTCTGGATTAGAGCACGAGGGGGACGGAGCGTTGACTTCATTAGACGAGACCTCTCCAACTTAACGTTTAGGTTCAGTGTGCCTCTAACCATTCGGTGATCGCTGCCAGTTTTCACCCTTGCGATCACTGAGACATCACTGAACAGTTGGCGTCTGGTCGTCATAATGAAGTCAATCTCATTTTTTGTCGAACCGTCGGGGCTCGACCAGGTCCACTTCCTGTGGGGCCGCTTCTGGAAGAAAGAGTTCATCATAAAGAGTCCCTCTTTCTCCATAAAGTCGGCCAGCTGCTGGCCCCTTCGGTTCCGTTGCCCTACTCCAAATTTCCCTACCTTCAGCTCACCGCTTTCTCTTGTGCCCAGTTTTGCGTTGAAGTCTCCCATCAACACCGTGTAGTAGGTTTTGGAGGAATGTATGGCTCTGGAAATATCCTCATACATTTCCTCCACCTCCTCATCGGGATGTGCCGAGGTTGGTGCGTAAACCTGAATGACCTTCAGCGAATACCGTTTGGTGATTCTGAGTATCAGGTACGCGACCCTCGTCGACACACTCCCAATCTTTACAACGTTGTTGACGAGAGATTTGTGGACGATAAATCCGACACCTCCTTGGGACAGATGGTCGCCCTCCCGGTGATAGAACAAGTTGCCGGACTCGAGGATTGCCGTGTCCTCCCCCTCTCTTCGGACCTCGGATAATCCAATAATATGCCAGCGCAACTTGTCTATCTCTTCTTTCAGCTCCAGTATCTTCTCGTCAGTCCTCAGGGTGCGTGCGTTATATGTTGCCAGGTCGAGTCGTCGTAGGTGGCAACCGAACCTCCACCGGAGATTCTTAGCACCCCCTGCCCCGCCGTTACCATGGTCGCCACCGTAGCCAGGAATAGCGGGGCCGCCGGGGACTGGGGGCCGTCTGTTTGTGTATTTATTCATTGGGGGGTTATTTGCCATAGTTGCCACGCTTGGCGAGCGGGTTGGCAACCGCAGTTTTTTATTACGTCACAGTTGTCATCAGGAAGACGCTGCTGCCCATCTCCTGCCTGTCTCCCTCTGTCGCCTCTTACGACACCCACGGGAAGATATGGGGTAGTGGATATTCTTAACCGCCACTACACGGCAAATGTATGTTTAACAAAACTTATTAACATAACATTTAAATTACAAATATATTTCTTTAAATTAGAATAAGAGTCGTTCATAAATGCTGGGCACGCGAGAGTTAAAAATGGACGAATTTATTCCACTTTTACTTTGAAGTGCAAACCTAAAAATAAAATAAAAGAATAATAAGCAGATTTAAACACGAAAAATGTAGCCTAATTATAATAACTTATATATTATGTTTCTACAAAAAAAATGTGTATAATAATATTATATACTTAAGTACCCACAGAAATGTCACATCTGAACATATTAATTTCATAATCTATATTCCAAGACTCGCGATGGCGTCTTAGGAATAATCTGTTTTATTATTAATATATAATAATATTTTTATTGATCTTATTAACCGATAAGTATCTTATTAACCGATAAGTATCTTATTAACCGATGAAAAGTAATTCCTTGGTTTTTACTGACATTTCTTGAATTATTTGTGCAATATCTAAGTACACACGACGGCATATTTTTATCTAGAGATTTTTTTTAGATCAACACAACACGTGACAACTCTACAAGCGCCTAGCGAGTGACTGATTAAAGTGCGGTGTATGCACCGCAGTTGAGTGGAACAGAGTAGCTGAATGCTACGTGTCGCCTCTAGTACGTGTACATAATAGCTCAATGCTAATCATAAATTAATTAATTATAAAAAAAGAAATTGGTTATTTTGAAAATTCATAAACCACATGACGAATGAACAAGTTTTTCGTAGTCTGAAATTTTTAATATATTTTGGCATGGCTTCTGGGCCTTTCAGCCATTGTAAAACACTTTTCGTCTCCAAAAGTCTATTAAGAATGATAAACAAAGTAACATTTTTTTCCTGGCTTTATTTGAAAATTCAATTATGAGATACGAAAGAAGAAAAAAATATGCAATTTTATAAGATATTTTACATCACTAGACGCAATAGAAAATTTTCATGTCAAGACTGGACATGACTCTTTCAAGTAAATCCATAATGCAGCGCGTTAAGACGCTGACGTTGACGCTAGTCAGCGTCAGCGTCAGCGTCAGCGTCAACGTTAGAAGAGATTTAACAATGTCCTTTATCGACCAAATTGGCGATATATTGAAAATTGGCCAGATTAAGAATACTCTTAACCGACAAGCATGTATGCGTAGGTAAATGGATGTAAAGGAGGCGAGAGAGGTGTGTCAGGGTCGTGCCAAATGGAAGTCTCTGCCAACCCCTCTGCGTGACAGGCGTGTTAATGATTATGATCGTATGTATGAATAGAATGGAATAATTTTTTATTTAACATAGATTGATTCATGTAATTTTTATTAATAGTAATTTTTTACTTTGACCACTGTTTCTGATAAAAGTCTGCCCTAGCAAGAACCAGCAAGAATCCCAGCATGCTATACATAGAAGTTTTTGCTTATCAAGGTGACTCACGGAGGTGCCATTGGACGTGGGCCTCTGGTGCTCGCTCAGCGCTGCGTAGTGCGCCACTAGGCCCAGGTCAGCGTGTCGACGCCCCGAAGAACCAGCACCGCGAGGCGACGTCGGACAGCTGTTCGCCGCGCTGATTGTGCCTGCGGAACAGAGCATAGAACATGATGTATAGTTGTACCATGTCGGCTCGACCGAGGTAAGACCACGCTCTCACAGAACACCAGCGTAAAATAGCAGCTCAATGCTGTTGTGTTTCGTATGGTGACTGTAGAGTACCGAAAACACCTTTTACTGGAAATGAGGCATTCCAACTCAGTCCTCAGGGGTGACATACAGAGCGATAAAGGTAGATCTATCTATGGGCCACAGTATCCACATATCATCATGTGGCCTGTGTGCCCGTTTTTCACCCTTTTAGGTACTGCCTCATTGGTCTAGTGGTTAAAGCGTTTTCCGACCATGAGATCTAAAGTTCAAATCTCGGGTCGGGCCAAACTCAGTTGTTAAGTATTTCTGTCCAGAAATTCTCAAGAGCAGCCCGGTGTTAGGAAGTTGTTTCACACCCTTGCCTCGGAAAACACTTTTTTTTTTAATTTACTTAAGAGGATACCTTGAAAATGAATCGAAATTTTGGGGGCGTGGCTTATTCCTTTGTCGGTGAAGCTAAAGGACGATTGCGGTAGTGTCAAAATGAAAGTGATGCAATGACTTCATAGTACGCAAATTATGAGATAGCCGTACCGAGCACACGCTCGGAAAAAAAACTACGTAAGCGCCAAAAACATTTTTATTTATTTTAACAAAACTTCGTTATGGATTAAAAAACTGGTTTATGAGAACTTAGATATGATTATTTACTATGCCTTAAAAATAATTCCATGAAATTATTTGTAAGAATATTGTGGTGTCATCGAGAAATGTAAATAATTAGAGCTTACTTTGCAATTTTTTTCTATCGAGAAAATTACATGTTATCGTGTTTTCCTTTTATGCAATCCAAGGTCATATAGTCAAAAATGATATACCAAAATTTAGGTTTGTTATCTATAAAACTTAAAAAAATATGTTAAATAGAAAAACCACCAAATTTTCGAGGTATCACCTTAAAGCCGTTGGTCCTGCGCGCCTGACTTCTCTCGGGTCGTATATCCAGCAAAGGACATTTACCAGCTAGTGAAGGAGATGTAGCGTATGTGAAAGTAATATGGTCATCCGTTTAATATGGTCACTTTCTTATAACTCAAAAACTACAGCCGTGTTTGCATAGATGGCTCTGTGATACGATAGCTCTTCATCGGTCAATCAAATAATAAAAGGTCAAAAGGGTTCGTCCCTTCGGCTTCGACGACAGCATTTTAACAGTTGACAGTGTTCCTAATTATTGTCAAAGCTTGTTTGCTATTTGTTTCTTAATATATTAGTTATAGCATAAGACTTTGTGTTTTTGTCTCTGTCCTCCTCCAAGTTTTGGGTTAATAGGGCGGCAAACCTTAAGGTGACCATATTACCATCACATACCTTAGTATTCGATAACAAAAATTTCATACGTTTTAAGTATGTTAAAAGAAGTTACGATAGTACTTTCAAGCTATTGAACATAGAAGAATGTTGCGCAATTTCCTTCACCTAATTTCCAAGCAAATTGTATAAAAACTGTCAGGTCAATACACATGACAGAAAAAGGGCGAGCTTCGTGTACGATGACTAACGTTTCCGAGAAATAATGTATGGTGAGTGCACGCGATGCTCATTGATTTAGCACCGACAAAGGATGGCAAGCAAAGGGCCGTGGGTTTTAAAAAAACATATATATTTCGATGGCATGTGGGGTCCGCCAATACGCATTGGGGCAGCGTCAAAGCGTGACGATTACGGCAAATAACTCTTCTTACTTCAGGATAGGCTGCTTTGCAATTATTTCGCCAAATATATGCGCGTTAGCGAAGCACATAAACAAAAGAAGAACCATAGAGCAGGGGCACCCAACTTGTTTATTGCTCGAACGGCTGATCGTAAAGCCAATTTTGGTCGCTGAAACCTATTAGTTTAAATAGAGTACCAATTTCGGTGTAGTAATAAAGTTAATGCAGTAACAGGGTATACGCCTATGAGAATAGGCCACATTATCCACTTACTATCAGATGGACTGTATCTTCAAGCGATCACGACACATTTTTAAAATTAAAAAATAGACGCTATATACCTACAATACACATAAGTTGGTGGCCAACCATACCACAGATACAAAACTGGAAAAAAATATTAGTGATGCAACGTATACGAATATGAATATTCGTATTCGCTGAATAGTAGACATTTACCGAATATTAGTATTCGGCGAATACTAATCACGAATAAATAAAAACTAATATTTTTGTACGTAACTCTAATTACTGACAGAATTTGAAAATACGTGTGCATAGACCCTAAGCCACAACGACGGCTACACAAGGGCGGGGGAGTTATTACTCAAAGTGAAAGATTTTCAAAAAGCTAACAATATACCGAAACACGTTTTGTTTCAAGATGTTGAAACCAGATGGGACAACATTTCAAATGTTGAAGAGATTACATGAACAACGCATAGCGATTCAAGATATTTTACCATCTTTACCAAACTGTCGTCATGAAATCACAGTAAGGCAATGAGCTCTTATGAGCTAAATTATTGATATTCTGGCCAATTTTAAAGAATCTACCAAACGACCATCAAAGAATCAACGATATTATAACAAACAATCCCAATAATATATAGGGACGTCCATTTTCCAAGGCTAAAAAAATTTGCTCAAAAATAATTTTCACCGAAACCATGTAAAATCGCCTCGGAAAGGCTTTTTTCAACGGCTGGGAACATCAAGGCTGAAAAAAGAAATTGCCTAAAACCAAAAATTCTACAAATTTTAGGTTTTTTATGTAATAATTTGCCTGTTGTAAATTTTAATTACTAGAACATTACAAAATCATCAAATAAATTAGTTTTTTATTACCATGGCGAGATATTCGTGCTCGCATTCGCCGAATATTAGATTTGATATTCGTATTCGTAAAAGTCCTTATGGCAGAATCGCTGGAGGACTTAAGCACTATGCTCAATGACCTCAATAGCGCCTCCCAACGGATAGGTCTTAAGATGAACATGGACAAAACAAAGATCATGTTTAATGTCCATGTCACACCTATGCCGGTAGTTGTTGGGAGCACTATGCTCGAAGTTGTTGACGAGTACGTTTACCTGGGACAAATAGTCCGACTAGGTAAGTCCAACTTCGACCGAGAGGTCAATCGACGGATTCAACTCGGCTGGGCAGCGTTCGGGAAATTACGACACATCTTCTCGTCAGGTATACCTCAATCTCTGAAAACTAAAGTGTACAACCAGTGCGTGTTGCCAGTGATGACTTACGGATCAGAGACGTGGTCCTTCGCTGCTGGCCGTATGAGGACGCTCAAGGTCGCTCAGCGAGCTGTGGAGAGGGCTATGCTCGGAGTTTCTCTGCGTGATAGACTCAGAAATGAGGATATCCGCAGTAAAACCAGAGTGACCGACATAGCCCAACGGATTAGTAAGCTGAAGTGGCAATGGGCCGGCCATATAGCTCGAAGAACCGATAACCGATGGGGAAGAAAGGTTCTCGAGTGGCAGCCTCGTACCGGTAGGCGTAGTGTAGGGCGACCCCCCACTAGATGGAGTGACGACCTGGTAAGATACGCAGGAAGTCGATGGATGCAGGTGGCTCAGGACCGTGCTTTGTGGCATTACTTGGGGGAGGCCTATGTTCAGCAGTGGACTTGTGAAAGGCTGTAATGATGAATGAAATGATGATTCGTAAAAGTAGTATTCATTGCATCACTAAAAATATATATCAGTAAACCCTCGTTATAGCACGAACACGAAAAAATCAGACAAATAGCTCGTGTTACAGGGGAGTTCGTGTAATCCGAACAATGCAAAAGATGAATTCGTGTTTCTAAACTCAATATTATGATTCATCATAGAAACATTTTATTAATAACTTTGATATTATTATTTTAAATTTACAATATTTTTTTATTATAAAATTTCAAATTATCATTATTATTATTTTAAAATTTGAGGTATTGTTTCTATTTTTAGGTACTCGCGTGAATGTTTGATATCCTTTCCTTTGTCTAATTTTAGAAACTCGAGTTAATGACTTTTCTAATCTCTTCAGCCATTGTTTACCGGTATTTGTATTGACCGAAAAAGGACAAATATATACAAAATGCATGATTTGGGAATTTTTATAGTTCGTATTATCCGATAATTAACCGTGAAGGGACGAAAAAGTTGTTCGAAGTTCGGATTAACGAGGGTTCGTCTTAACCGAACATAATTACATTGAAGCTTATGGAACTATTGTCTAGAGCAAATTTTTGTTCGCCTTAAACCAAAATTCGTGTTAACCGTGTTCGCATTAACGAGGGTTTACTGTAACTGAAAACTGTTACCGGTGGGTGAAGGCGCTGGACTCCTCGCATCACCGTCTACAGGTATGGTGATGCGTAAAGGCGGCAGTGGAGCCCCAGAGCCTCCCGCTGCACCTCCGCCACTCTCCTCCACCAGTGACTGGAACTCCAGCCGAATGTTCGTCGAAGGGAAACGGAGCGTGCATCTGGAAGTCAAGTTTAATAAAATTAGTTATGACTAGTCACTTTTGTATGCAGACTGTATAGACGGCAATACGTGTTGACCAAGCCTTAGCCAACGCGAGCTTAGACAAATTGATACAAGGCGAGTGCAGTCTACATGTAGGCCAAGTTTAAACGAATGGACATACTGACATGGTCAACTAACATGTGGACACAAGTTGCCGAATGCAGGCGAGCACCTTTGATTTGTGCAGAAAAACTTACACCGTTCCGAAGTGAGACGAATCGTGGCTCGCCTTCGTTTAGCCAAGATGTACGTAGAGACTGCCGGCATTATATTTAGTAGGGCCTCTGATGCACAGGAAATTAATACAAAATCAGGTTAATGTACCATACAGTTGGACGCCATCAACTCCATAAACAAAGTCAAAAAATACATTTAAAATTTAATGTTGGCGTTGCCAACATAATGCGGCCATACAAAATCGAAAATTATTGATAAATTACTAGTACCGTTTAGCAATTAACAAGTTTAAAACAAACTTCCATAAAATAACATTGCAAGTAATCAAACTTATAATGTTGTTTTCAGTTCTAGTCTACTGCTGAACATTTTATTTTTTTACCCCAACAAATTACAAAATTAACCCGGGCCAAAAAAAAAAAATAACTTTTTTTCCCCCACAAAATTTTCCCCCCCAAATTTTCCCCCCATGGTGGGGAGGCCTCCTGCGTCATTATTCCCCCCAAAAAAAAAACTCCCCCCACATAAAATTTTTTTTTTTTTTTTTTTTTTTTTTTTTTATTTTTTTAAATAATTAACCCCACAAAAAAATTACCTCATAAGGGGGAGGGGGCAATATTTGTTGTTATCAGGAAGGAAGGAAGGTTTGCGCTGCCCATCGTTTGTTTTGATTGCCCTCTGTCGCCTCTTATGAAACCCACAGAGTGTTATGGGATAGTGGATATATCTACACCGCCACTACATCAGAGCCGTGGTGGCTCAGATGGTTAGCGCTCGCTGTAAATTTTACAGTACGCGAGCCAACCGACTTCGATCCCGGCCGGCACCAATTAAATTGCACGTGCTCGGCGGTGAAGGAAAATATCGTGAGGAAACCTGTATGTCAGAGAAATAAGAAAAAAAATATTTCGAAGACATGTGAAGATCGCCAACGCGCATTGGGGCAGCGCGGCGGACAATTCCTTGCCCTAAAACTCTCTCAGAAATGAGCGAAGGCCTGTGCCCAGCAGTGGGACGTACATAGGCTGTAACTATACTTTTTTTACTACATCGTTTTACATAATATGACATTACTTAGAAGTTTCTCCGAGTCAATTTTATTGTTACAATTATTTTGATTAATAACATAATATAAATAAAAAAGCGACTTTCAATAAGTATTATTTATAATCTATATTGTATAAAAAAAATCTGTTTCTGTTTGTGTTTATAATTGGTATTCAAGACAAGAGTTCATCAAACGCATTGCAGAAGACATACTACACGTAATACAGGAACTGTCAAATGAGAGACGTACTGTTTCTGCTAGGTCTTTAAGACTATTCTTATAGAAACACATACCCTATAGAAATGTTACCTACTTGTATATTTGAAAGCATCTATTTGTATCGATTTCATGTTTTCCAATCTGTTTGGATAACATCAAAAACAAGCATAAAAATAATAAATTGCGTCATTGTCACACATTTATACATTATATTATAAGTTTTAATTCACTGCGAACGCAAACAGCAACAAATCTTAAAATTTGTCGCAAAATTACACACAGTTTCCTGGAGTGCATACGCAAGCACCAACAAAACATGTTGTGTGATTTATTTTATACGTATTTCGAAACGTTACAATGAATTGAAACGAAATTACTTTGAATGTTTTTGGTGCAAACGCACGGTTACTATTATAAACAATACCACAGGCCAGGTAATCTAAACAATGGGGCCATGCGGTCGTCAATTTATTACACCACGATCATGACTCGCAATAATCTATACATACATACATCATCATCGCTCATCATCATCATCATCATCATTACAGCCCTTCACAAGTCCACTGCTGAACATAGGCCTCCCCCAAGTAATGCCACAAAGCACGGTCCTGAGCCACCTGCATCCATCGACTTCCTGCATGTCTTACCAGGTCGTCACTCCATCTAGTGGGGGGTCGCCCTACACTACGCCTACTGGTACATGATGCAACAATTTTTGACACAATTTGATGAAATTATATCACAGTTGTTATCAGGAAGATGCTGCTGCCCATCTCCTGCCTGTCTCCCTCTGTCGCCTCTTACGACACCCACGGGAAGATATGGGGTAGTGGATATTCTCAACCGCCTACCTACACGGCACATACATACATACATATAAATAAAATTGGAGTGTCTGTCTGCAATATTGAAATATCTCCCTTGTATTGATTTTTAATTGAAGATAGATGCAGATGTCTATGGACCACAGCACCCACTTACCATCAGGTGAACTGTGTGCTCGTTTGTCACCCTTATTTTGTGAAAAAAAAAATTAAACTACAAAACGCTACATTAACAGACACGCCTATACAGGCGAAGCCCGAGTGTGTTGGCAGTCTATAATAAAAACGACTCTCGTGTACAGGGCTAATGAATTTCGAGCCTAATGTGGTGCCGACGTTCGGTGGCGTGCGAAAAATCGTCAAGTCATGCTTCCACAGAAAAACAGTCTTATCGATCTAATTGCGGTTTTTTAGATTATGTGCGTGTTCAACATTCTGCTTCTTCCCTTCTCAATCGAACTTTAATGACGCACATATATCGGTGCTAACCGTGTAGTGAGTGGCGATGTAAGAATATCCACTACCCCCATCATCCCGTTGGTGTCGTAAAATACGACATAGGGAAACTGGAACAAGAGATAGACAGCAGAAACTAAAATAAAATAAAAGCTAAAGTTGACGACCCACTTGACAGGCGTGGCGAATTTCGGCCACGGCGGCCTGCCTCAACGGAGGCTAGCCATCGGCGCAGGGCAGGATTATAGTGCCCAAGTGTATACGCAAGCACAGGCGCACTCTCCATTCCCTCACTCTCATAATCCGATGGGATGGTAAACCTACACGACCGGAGAGAGATCACGCGCAGGACCAACGGCTTTACGTGCTTTCCGAGGCACGGAGGTGAAGCATCGCCAACTTCCTGACACCGGGCAACTACTGAGAATTACTTGACGGAAAAACTCAATAATTTTTTTTGGCCCGACCCGGGATTTGAACCCAGGACCTCATGATCAGTAGTCGCACTACTACAACCACTAGGTCAACGAGTCAGATAGCAAATATCCCCCTATTAAGTATTCTACGGGAGAGACCTTCGTTCAGCAGTGGACTTATAAGCTGTAATAGATGAATTAATGGATGTATCTGCAGCACGAATGGGTTACCCTAGATGGAGTGACGATCTGGTAAGACATGCAGGAAGTCTGCTTTGTGGCTTTCCTTAAGGGAGACCTACGTTCAGCAAATGGAGTGGTAGTGGTAGTGGTGGTGGTGGTAGTGATGGTGGTGAATAGATCAGCTCGATCAAGCAAGGCAAGGACGTCCTTTCATTTCCAAGAGTGTTTTGGATAAGGGACCTGTCACCGCCGCGCAGTCCGCAATGCGTGTTGGTAAAATTCACATGTAATTAGTTTCTTATATTGACAAGCTAATTTTACGGTAAATGTACTTATTCTTGAAATAAATATACATTTCACTAAATGAAAAACTACAATATTCACGTTAATAGTAGGTTATGAGTATACAGAACTTTGTAAAGATTTTACTGAAATTATCGCGTCTAATTTAACTTATTTTTATTTATTCTGATTCTCGGTATTTCGAGAAAAAACCGGTTCCTACCAAAGATGATTCGCGGGGTTATTGGTATTAAAAAAAACATCCAAATTTCAAAATAGAAGATGACTGGGTGCTACCATTTGTTTGGAGATTCTATAATTAGTAAAGTAAAATTTAAACTTGCTTGGGTTATATTACTATTATTATTGGGTAACACTGCAAGACTTCAGGATACTGAAAGCGCGTACTGCCTAGATCTGACCAAAAATTAATATTCAAAAGGTGAAGGTATCTCTGGTTAACTTTGACATTAGGTCGAGAAACACCTCAGTTCCTCACGTGAACATGGGTGCTGTAAGGCATCCAAAACGTCAAATATTAAAATAAGTAAAAATAAGTTAAATTAAAGGCGATGAAATCCGTAAAATTACTTTTATTCAACATTTCACATGTTCCAGAAATAATGTATAATTTCTCAGACATGACATTTCCCTCTCTGTTTTTAAGATTATTATAAAGATTATTAGTGTGTCTTGTCGTGGTGGAATCTCTTATTTTAGTGGGATAGTGCACACAATTGCAGGAGGGCGGGAGGTGCTCACCAAACTAGATCAAACACATCATTTTATGCTAATACGCTGAGCTTAACTAATTAATTTTACATCTTTAATATTATAAATTTCCGCAAAGTATCGCCTGATTCTGTTAATTATTAGTTTTTAGGGTTCCGTACCCGAAGGGTAACTCAACGGGACCCTATTACTAAGCCTTCTCTGCCCGTCCGTCCGTCCGTCCGTCCGTCCGTCCTAGTTCTTGTCGTAGGTTATTCACCTTTCATCACCAGTGATCAAACTTTTCAAAAATAGTTCGATTTCATTGCGTTTCAATAGATAATTGCAAATGCGTATCTGATTCATTAGGTTTCTTTCATTGAGCTTGTGTGGTACCCAAATATCGTGCTTTTTTGTATAGCCAGACTTTTTCAAAATTGTTTTGCGGTCAATCTTCAATTGTTTCGCTATGTCGTAACTACTAATATGCCGATCTTGCTCCACTTTTTCAAAAATGGCATCGACTTTCCCGTGCGTCTGTTTGTCAGTCAGCGGGCTGTATCTCATGATTCGTAATAGGTATAAAGTTGAAATTTTCACAGAATGTGCGTTTCTGTTGCCGCTACAGCAACAAATA